CCAAGTGAATATGAAAGTTTCTGTCGATTTTATTTTTGACATTATGTAATTTTGTTTTTTATTTTAAATTATTAACGAAGTTTTGCAAAGTGGAGCACAAAAGAAGTGTAATTATCATGAAGAATCGTGTGCAGGATATTTCCATCTGAATGCCATGTAAAGCACGCTAATGCAATCTAAACGTCATGAATATCGAAGGACGAAAAAAATGTGATTACTATATTGAAATTAAATTAATGCATTTCGCGCATGAGTATTTCATTCGCGTTTCTAGTATCTTGCCCATCCCCCTCACACTCCCCCCCCAACACTTCCCATCTTTACACGTGATTGTGCTTAGGTAGATACAGTTTAATTGTCGATAATTATTTCATTAACTATTTATACACAATTAATAACCATTATTACAATTAGCGTAATAATAATCGTAAAGTCACACTTAACGGTACGATTAAACTAGATTTGTTGTACGCAGGATTGATTCGCCCGGTAGGCTCGTAATGACAAACTGTACTGCGTCGAAACCTGTCGATCTTATGGGAATCCGTATATACAGGTTTGTCCTCACACGTGGATGTACTCAAAACGAATTATCGTATATCCCCCGCCGCGATAACGCGACTATATTAAACCCACCATTAGTACTGGCGAAAAACGTCCGATTGGTTGCGCAACGGACGAGACAGTCGTAGAAATCACGTCACGTAGTAATTAGAGCATATTCATTGTCTCAGCTGGGGATACGAGAAAGACGCAACCCAATGAGCTGACAATAACGAAGAAGCGAGAGTGAATCGTTATGACGTATTTGGAAAGAAATTTTTTCTCATTTTCCTCTGTTTACAAATATTTTAAAAATTAATGCTAATTTCACTCTCACTTCCTTCCCTACACATGCACACGCAAACGAACATGTATGCAGTTTCATTCATAATTAGTCACTCCCAATCACGTACGCATAGATAAACAGTATTTCTAGATTGGATGACGAGAAAATATCTTAAGTCGGACTACTTCAATCCGGGTGCTCTAGTTTTCTTTTTTTTTTCTTTTTTTTTTTACTTAGAGATTAATACTTTCCGTGTGCATTCATACTCGGAGACATGCTGTAACCGTTACTTTTTTTTTCTATTCTTTCTCCATTTAGCTTTTCTTGCTTCTTTTAACTAGAGGATTGTCAGTTTAGGGTCTTTTTCATCCATTTCTATGCACCCATGAGACAAGTGCCGGTTGTTACTTTTTTTTTTTTTTACTTATGTGCTAAATCGATTGACGTCGGGTTTTCATCGAGACGCTAGGCTTCAGAATCCCGTCGAAGCCTTTTTAGTAGAGGATAGCGAAACTTCGCACACACTTTACGCACAGCCATTACAATTATATAGGCTATATAGTTTCCATAGAGCGAATCACGATATATCATGGGTGCAGGATCACCGGTCATCGATTTTTACATTCCTTACTAGCTACAGAATCCTATTATGTACATCAATTCCTTGTAGAGATAGGTAATAATAGTTAGAAGATATTAATATTAGAACCATTAGAAAAAACACATTCGAGTTTCCCATTACTTTTCGTGTATCTTATATATATTTTTCATCTAGATTTATCACAACACCAAACGATTTTTGCTCTGAATGAAAAAGACCCCATAGGGTCTGGAGTGCGTGTATATGTGTCCTATGTCCGTCGTTGCTATCGGAATAACGATTGACTTTTTTAAATAAGTTTAAGATGACTTTAGAAGTTTTACCGAAATTTTGGCAAATTGTCTGGCTCAAGGGGTGAGTGGGTCTTACGGGAACGGGCGAATTATGCATTCTCATCGCACTGTGCAACAGGAGACGCTCGCTTGTCGCGAACACTTTGCGTAATCAGTTAGATTCGGATAAATTTATCGATCGATCGGGATTGCAGTTTACAAATGGATCCAGCAAAAATATTGCTGATCGTTATGGTTGTTGTAAACCGAAATCTTCGTGATCTATATGTCTTCATAATTTTTATTTCGTCCTACCCAAGTTGGACAAAAAGATTAATTCTAAGGTCAATTCAACCCTTTCTAGGATACTATTGGACTGAACGATAAGTGATCGTCAGGATCGGATCGCGAGGATCCATGAACGGTTAATCTGAAGACACACCGAGGGATGCGAGGCTACGTACGCTTATGTACGAGTGTTAGGCGTTAAGGTGCGTTTAGGTACACGTCACGCGATTATTTTTTTGGCACTGTACTATTATTCCTATAGGAATATCTGACGCTTTTTAAAAATTCTTGAATTCGCAACGGATAAATGAAAATTTATATGACCATGATACTTTGAAGATCGGTTCCGAGTGCAAAGGGTCGTTTAGGCTAGTGCGGATATTTTTATTTAAAAAAGCTCGAGCACAAAAAAATCGCGAATCAAGAAAAAAAATAATGAAGTGAAGTTTACTAAATGGTAACATATGGTGTATTTAAATTGCATTGTAAACCCAAAAGAAACACCATAACAGTGTACGAATCACCGTATGGGTATGATCGGTACCGTTTGAAATTGTTTATACAATCCGATTCTCGTTCACTCATCGTAGCGTGCTTGCGCGCGAAATTATACTCCTCCTGTCGAAAGACATATCTATCAGTTACACGGTGATTTCGTTAATGTTCATTAATTACATTTTTTTTTCTTTTGGGGGGGTTTTGGCAAGTTTTACATCTCGTGGTTCGCTTCGGTTTTTTTTTTATTTCCTCTTTTCTTTAATATCGTAGGTAAAAGTCAACGATTAGTTTCCGGAACACAAGGCACTTGGCTTCCACATCATATTTCATTATTAATATTTATTCATTTTTCTCATTTCCAATTGTCCCATTCTCTCTCTCTCTCTCTCTCTATTTAGCTCTCCGGCTCCACTTCCGTTCCATTTTCTCCTAAATTCCTCTCTGATCACAACCTCCCTCCCATTTCTCCTCTTCTGTCGTTCACTCATATTTGTATAGCTCGGTGTCAGAGAATAGCTAGCGTTACAAGACGCACTGCCATCGCGAACAGAGACATTACGACGAGACAGTTGTCAAGCTGTCCGCGTATATTTTCGCATGCGAATCGTTACTTTTTAACATTTTTTTTGTTCGCGGGAGCGCGGGGGCTGGGGTGGCCGAGCGAGCGGAGACCGGCAGCGGGATGGCGTAGATCCAATGTGGCTCGAGTAAAAAAATCTTTTCGAAAGCATTTCGTCAATTTGAACGTCGTACCTAACGTCGATCTTTCCTCGATATATCGGTATAACGTGTTTTTGCCATAATTCGCGGTTCACACCGATCGCAGCACGCCTTCAAACGTAGATTGAAGTAACACGCACCAGTCACTCACAATATGCATAGAAGAAAATAGTCATATATATATCATCGTACATATACTGCGTATGCATTGCCGTGATAATCTATATATATATATTTTTTATTCATTTATATATTCATTATTTATCTTATACATACATTTATAAACGACGGTTAGATTATTTATTACATCTGAGTATTAAAACCTTTTCTCCCCCTTTTTCTTCATAGTAGAGTTCATCGATTTACGGTGATCCCTTTTTGCATTCGCGAGGCTCTCGGGGATGGGGTGGGCTGGGGGCGGGGGGTTGTTATCGAGGACTTAAAAATTAATTTCAATTTTCAAGTGGTGTAGTGTGTGTGTATGGAGGATATTAATGATAGCGCGATGATGTCGGTGTAGTGGTTTTGGTGGTTTACGTGGATGCAGAAGTATAGAATTTCAATTTTAAAATGATTAGGTGTTCAATCGTTGCCGCGGTTGTCTCGACGTTACTCATCGTATTCGTTAATGTCTTTTTATCAAGCCACAACCGTGCTTGTATCATTTATTCCGGAAAGGACCGAGTTCGAGATAGGTTTGAGATCGTCAACGGCCGTCGATCTAATTTAACACGTAGCACGAAGTCGGCCTCGACGCAATGGGTGTATATATATATATCTATATGTGCATATAGATATATACATATATAAAATGTATTACCATCGACGAGGTTACTTTACCGCGTGTAAGGATAACTGGTAAATGTACCGAAGCCCCGACACTGACAAATAAAAGAAGCTTGTCTTATTAACAAATAACATCGAGTTTTTACGTAGCAAGTTTCGAAGTACTCCGTTCCCTTTTAGTCTCTATACATACTCAGTTATATTCATTATACCTTTTATCTGTGACTATATATATATCGCATCAATATATTCAATATGTATATATTAAATAAAGTGGTATGTATGTATACGCAATATATAATTATTTAGTTACTAATTTAATGTACAAGTATCTCTTTCTTTAATAATATAATACTGATGCACTGATGCTCGTTGCCCTAGCTAAGCCGTTTGATTTTCTTTCGGATAGCACGCGCGCATGCGCACAACCGACTCACGAATCCGGTAACGTTGCACGTAATAACTCTTCCTCTTTTGTTGCACATTTTAGATGTCTATCAATTTTACCGTATCTTCCGTTTATATATACTCTCGCGCCTAATTGGCCGTACTCGGGGAGCAGCTCATCCTTTCGAATCTGCTATGCTTTATTTTCACGTCTACCACTGTACCTTTTGTAGTTTCTTTTTTAAATTTTCATTTGATTACTGTCGTTCTCTCTCTCTCTCTCTCTCTCTCTCTCTCTCTCTCTCTCTCTCTCTCTCTCTCTCTCTCTCTCTCTCTCTCTCTCTCTCTCTCTCTCTCTCTCTCTCTCTCTCTCTCTCTCTCTCTCTCTCTCTCTCTCTCGTACACTCTCTCCTCCGTCATTGACGTCAATAACGACGTCACGACGAATAGTCACGGTTATCATGGGGTTTAGGAGGCCTCCTAAAAATGACAGTTGACGGTACGCGAGAAGAATTTACGACTCGTGTGAATTAACGATTTTTTTCTTTCCTCTCTTTTTTTTTTTTTTTTTTTTTTTTTTTTTTTTTTTTTTTTTTTTTTTTTTTTTTTTTTTTTCTTAGGCCATTCACACGTATCAACAACACTCGACAAACTCGAGATCACATCGCACTTCGAATTGACTCAATGGTGTGTAAAAATGACTTTACGCATTACAGTTTTCCGTCAAAAGAAAAAATTGAAAAATATCAACTTTCTTACTCTGATTCGTTCATTGTGATTGATGGCGACGAAGAGCAAATTGGATTCCCAAGGAACAAAATTCCTAGTCTAACCGACGAAGAGAAACGCAGGTAACAAGATGATGGATGATCGCTACGGTAATAACAATAGATGACAGGTAAGTATATGCACGTATGCACGTATGCACGTATGAAATCTTTCGATTGATCGAACGATAACGTTAGCAGAGAGTGGCACACTGTTAATTAGAACTTACATTAGATATAGGTATAGCACAGGCTCGATAATTAACGTCCTCGTACGTTCACTACGCAACGCGTTATTGGTAATTGGCAACAGAATATTTGTCCAAGATTTGGCGAGGAACACGCGAGAGAGCTTTCGATGATTGATCGCACACGAAGTGGGGGGAAATCGTCAAGTGAGAGGGTGGTAGGTGGGAGACGATTTTTTGAGAAGATAACTGTAATGCACAATCGAATTCCTTGGGCCAGCTGTAGATTACCGCACAGTCATTAAAACAATTAATATTATATTGTCCATATTGCTTATGGCACCGACATTTGAGCGACTTACACTGTAAGTTTTGTCATTTGAGTTAATTACTGTTTCATTGATATACCAATCGCGATAGCCTGCTTTCTGATGACTTTAAGCTCTACTTTTTCTCCATTCTTTGTCCTCTCTCCTTCTCTCTCTCTCTCTCTTTGTGTATTGAGCAAGACGACTAAAGCGACTGGATTAGTGAGTGATACGCTACAACGAGATTCTAGTTTACAACAAACAATGTCTAACGTATAAGTACATTATTGGTAATAAGAACTAGTTGAGCAGAGAAGTGCGTAAAGAATGACAGTGCAACGTTACGTCATACTAGGTATTGCTACAGCCGAAGACCAGTCCCTCTGTTGGTAATTATTGCGTAATGATAAATTAAGGGAAGTCTACGACATAACAGAACAATTATGATTATTGAAAGACAAAAATAATAATCATAATTGAACGTTCTCGGTATATACACAAAATTACTATATGAGACTTTAGTGTCGGAGGAAAACACGAGAAAAATAGTATGGTTTTTTTTCTTTTTCTTTTTCTTTTTTTTTTTTTTTGAAAAATTTTGAGCATTCTCGGTATGCGTTTTGATAAGTGTGCGCACGAGAGTTAATGAAGTATGAAAAATTGTGTGCGTGTGTCATCGTGTGTTGTGTAACTGCGAAACACGGGGTTTGTAAAGAACGCTCTTGTTCTCTCTCTCTCTCTCTCTCTCGCGCGCTCGCGCGCTCACTCTCTCTTTCTATAATGAGGGAATCGAAATTTTGTCTTGCTATTAAATATAGCGAGTAGTCGATTCCTATTATGCAACTTGACGTGATGACATATCCGAAGGCTACGCTACAGCTGGCCAAGTTCTATTACATTAAAAACGCTATTAACAATAGGTCTAATAGTAAAAGTTAATAGAGAATAGTGTAACATCAAATAGAAGAGTATAAAGAACCATGCTGGTGTATAGAGATAGACATTAAAGTAGGTAATAAGTAAGAGGACAATAGATTACAATATCGATAATCCATAATAATTTTTTTTTTTCCTTCGTTAAGAGTAATTTTGCATAAACGTTGATGATTCTTTAGTAGACTTTTTTTCTCTTTAATACAGTATTTTGAGCACATTCCTCAGGTGTATAACCACGCTACACTTTCTTCATCGAGTTGTACCAATATATTTTTGTCACGGTCGAAGTTTAGCCATTCGTTTAATGTGGTTTTTCGTTCTTATATAATTCCTTTTTTTGTTTCTTAGTATTTGTGTTTGGCAATTTCACTGTAAACCTCGTTCCAATTGTTTTGACCATTGAAATTTTTTCTCTGCGTAAGTATGGCTTTGAGTACCTGTATGTTTCACGTAGAGCGTTAATACGTTCGCTACATAATTCTACCTTAATAGACGTAATTGCGAAGATGAAGAATTTTTTTTTTGTAAAATGCGAATGAGACATTATAAATAGATATATCGAACCTTGCATTAAAGTCAAAGCAGGAAATGTTAGTTCGTGAAAATGCTAATGCACGACAAAAAATATTAGGCGTGATTAATTAATACGTTACAAGGTATTGTCGTTAAATTGAAATAAATTTATCGCGATATTCAATCATGATTCCTGACAGTCGTCGAATATTATCGTAGCATCACTTAATAGCACGACTCGCTCGGGGATGTTAGCTCTTGTACTTTTCTTATCGTTTATCTTTTTTTTTTCCAATCTTGGCAAAGTACTGAAATCACTGGATATCGATCAGAGATGAACGATCGTGGGCTTAATGACTCTTAAAGCTTGCCTACTGAAATTCAATAAAATCAGAATACTTTATCACTTGAAAAATGCGTCTGTAATATATTATAAGTATTGTATATTGACAACAAATCGACGATATACACGATGTCCTAATTCGATTTATAAAAATAAATGTTCTATCAGTTATACAATAATAATAATAAATAAATAAATCAAGATAATAAAGAATTTGTCGATCTCTGTTCGATATCCAGCGAACCGCGGTTTTTGATCGATCTTCGCTCAGTGTCAGTACAATATCGGTACAACTCACTAGTTGATGGCACGGGTCCGCCTATGTACAAATATGTAATACCATATACCACATACCATTTAAATACATCACATATTTATCATCTTGTTATATATATATTCTCCATGTATATATATATATATAGTATGACAATCGATGTATATATATATATATATATATCGTTACTTCTTTTTGGTTTCTGTGACGTGGAGGGACTCGTTTGTACAATTCATGCGTATCTTCGTTACTGTTTCATTGCTTCGTTAATTTTTCCTGCTCCGCTTTTCTGAGCAGACAGCCTCCAGCGATTCGCCGCGCGATAATTTCCACGCTATTATTACTTCGAGTCAAGAATACGTATGGTTTTCTCTTACAATAATAATCGTCTTGCAGAGGAGCGTGGGAGAGTAAAATTCTAGAGAATCCAAGTTGAAATCAATAGTGGAAGACCATGATGAGTTATAGCGATCGCGAATTAGGTATATCGAATGGATCGATGTCTTTCAGTAATTATTTGAAGTTAGTTTTGATTTGTTGCTGGTAGTGGTGGGCGGAACGCGTTGAGTAAATTTTGATTTGATTAATAATAGCAACGACCGATATTGATGGCGACAATTTTATCGTTTTCCGGACTCGAAACAGGCGACTGGTAAAATCGCTTATGTTCATCATTTTTAATCGCTAGCTACCCCGATTCCCCTGATTCTCTAATTGTAAGTCCGTTTAAGACTTATATTACGTACAATAGTAATTATATTAGTAGAAACTTAGTTTCTGTAACAAGTGTATTGTCTTAAATGATATGTCTGCTAATTTTGTTGCATTCGATCTATATGACTTCGTCGTCCCCTTTAGACCGGAGTCCATAACAATTTCAACTCCTTAAATAAACTAACCTTTATGATTCGAAGTTCTAAAATCTTATTTATAGTACAATAGATTATTAGGCGCTACGACATTTTCAAATTGCGCTGGAGGCTGTTACACAGAATTCACTGAATCCCGCGTCGTCTGTATATTAACTGTAGAAGTAAAGGAGTACGATCGTGAGACGAACATTAATTACCAAGTAATCTGAATAAAGTTAATTAATGGGGAAAAAAGGAATATTCATTTTTCATCGGTATCCCTGACGACCTATCAAAACTTTTCTCCGTATTGATTTAATTGGATGTACCCTTTATGGTTAAAGAAAGAAATACAGGGGATTCTGAAGATTCGATGAGTTTGAAAAATTTACGTTTAAATGAAAAAAAAAGTTGAAAAAATCCAGATATCGTTACTTTTGTAAATTATGTTTTTACGTAATGATCGTTCTCGTCCGTACTCATTTACCTATGTATGCGAACCTGTAAATGAACGTTATAACAATAGACATATGTATCTCGTGTGGCCGGATCTTTTGATTTTTCAGTTTGTTTTAGATTTTTTTTTTTTACGTAAAATTTCGGGGCAAGCCTTAGAAATGAAGCGCACTGAAAGATTGCTGCAGGAAGAGGGAGGAAAGTTTTACAAGAAAGAACAAAAATGACGAAGAGGGCTCTTGACATTTCTTGCTCGATTACAAAGAGATAATAGATGGTTCTTCGAGAACTTCGACCTCTGCCTATTGAACGTTTGAGCGTATCAAAGATTTGACTAATTAGCAATAAAGATCGTTCGGAGTTCATAGATCGTTTCAAACAGCATCCGGTCACTCCCTCTTGTTTATAAAAGTCGAGAAAAGATCCAAATGTTAAAATATTCAGCGTGATTTATTTTAATGTTAAAAGTTAATAAGAAGAAGAGCGTTAACAATGAATAACAATATTTTAGGATAGAGTTATAGCGTCTACGATTGGCAAACCTCTTGAACAACAATTTAGAGTTCCTTTAAAGGAAACTGGGATATACATTAACGTTTTCTTTTCTTCGTTTAACACCGTGTAAAAAGTACCGTTAGAATATAGCTTAGAATTGAGCTAGCAAAGATGCGCATCGTATCTCCTTCTCTAAAATATAAAAAGTTCTTTTTCATTTTTTTTCCTTCTATTTTTTTTTTCTTTTTTGTTTTTCAATAAGGACGTTCCTACATATCGACTTCAGCAATGAAAGTGATGCAAAGTGTAAATGATGAAAATGTAGAGCGATGACTTCATCTTGAATTACGTAGTTTGGGACTGTGAACTGAATTTCATTACGATCGATAAAAATTAAGCTATCGTACAACGACGTCTTTTCATTATTTATACTCAGACAAGTTTTCTTTCAAACGCGGACGACCATGATCGGTTTTCTTATTTAGGATACCTTCCTGTATATAGGAACATCGTATTGGTATCCCATTGGAAAATATAAATGAGCCAAGAAAGAAAAGTTTGTCACTCTTAATAAAAAATTGTATCCACTCGACATTGTTTTTGCAAGAGTCTCGCCACGTAGGGCCTTAGTAAGGTAGAAAAACCAAGCCAAGTGTATATACCTAGTATATATAAGATCCCTTCTAGAACAACCTAAAACCTATGCTACTTAAATCGCGTAAAATCCTTTTTCTCAATTGTACATACAGACATTTATGTATATGTACAGTCATGTACACGTTATTATGTACACGTAGTAATTTAGTGATCGCATTAGTTAATTAATGTTTTATCGAGCGATTTAATCTATTTTGTGTCTCTGTGTCCTCTGCGAGTGAGAGTGTATGAATATAGTGTGTTCCTGTATGCACGTGTGTGTATATATATATATGTATGTATAATCGTTATATTACATCCGGTGTCGGTGGCGCCGAATACCTGCATAGTGAAACTTGAACAATGTTCTTAGAGAACTAATCGCCTAATCTAGAAATAATATTATAAGTTACATCAATATATATATTAAAATTCTATTCGATCAAATATCATCAATGTGTTAAGTAATAATAGAGGTAACGAAAATCGGGTCTCTCAACAAATCTATGCGTGCGCGAATACCGCTTACCTATCCTTCCTCAATTACATTTAAGTATTTAATTAACTAAGTAATATATCTAGAATGAACGTACAACAAGTGGTACCTTACGTATCGACCATCCCGATCGCGAATCACTCGACCGTGTCTTCAATGTGCGTCATGACAAGATTGGAAGCAATCAGACAAACGTATTTAATATGGAAACTCGTAGAAACGTTACGAGGGTTATATTTTCTTTAATTAAAACGATAAATGTTTTCGTATCGATTTTAAGGAATTCCTCGTCAACTCTGTCTCGTAGCGACGAACATTGTCGGACGGTTGGTCGGGCGTTTCGTGATCGGCCACGGATAACGGTGGATCGAAAGAAGTCCATGGGAGGAAGAATGAAAGAGAGAGGAAAGATGAATAGTAAGAGGAACAAAGTAAAGGAAACAACCTAAAACTGGTAATATGAAGAAATACGCAACAGGTAACAGTTAATGTCTTCTGGCATAGTCTGGGAACTTCGCGTGTGCACAATTAATATTATATATTTCTCCATCCCCAAAGTCGCAGTCGTCGTCGATTATGGCGGCGTCGCTTAACTACAGCGCGCGTTCACTTTTCTTTTTTCCGCCGTTCTCAATGATTTGCGTACTCATTGCGCGCATCTGTCACTCGTATTAACATTGCGCTATTATCACACGACAGTGCGCACTACATCGCTTAGGCCATATACCCCTCGATAGACTTTTTATAGCCGTGTATAGAGCATCGATCGAACGGATCGTCATGGCAATTCATGGTTCTTCCTTTCTTTGTTCTTTTTCAGTAAGAAAAAAAAAAGGAAGGAACGCCTGCACGCATTCCAATTTCGAGACGAGCGAGTTGTACGGAACGTGGAAAATTTTCATTGTTCTTCCCCTCCCAACCCTTACTCTTCGCTCGTTCGTCGCATTAAATAAGTACCCTGTCCTCTGTATCGCCCTAACAGAGTTTTGCCCTAGACGCTCGAAGAGTGCTTAGCACGCATTCTTTTCCTTAGATTACGAATTTAAATTCATTGTGCAGAATTTGCATTAGTCGGAGGAGGTTATGTAACCTTTCCTAACAGTCGATTGCTCGGCACGTCTTAGGCCTTTACGAACTCGCGATTCCCACTTTGATTCCTGGTCACGTTTATACAGGATGCCAAAGAAGATAGGAAGAAAGACGAAAAGAGGGAAAACAAAATTGTCTCGTAAGAACTGTCTGAGAATACGTCAGACGCAGCTCGTCGCGAACATCTTCGGCATCGCGTAACTTCGCCAGACGGAGTATCTCACTACGAACACGACTTGGAGTTCGGAAATTTGCGAATTATTTCCTAACCTCGTCACGTGATATCACTTCTCTTATCGTACCGTTACAGCCTTCGTTAAGGTAACTTAAGTATAGCTAACCGAGTTTCCTATGGTGGCCTGAGTCTCGTTGGATTGTGCCATAAGTGTGTGGCGTTGTGCGCGTTCGAATCGGCGTTGTTGCCCGTCGATATTTGTTGCTGATAGTCTTGCGCTTGCGTCGACGTGTTGCTCTGTTGTTGTTGTTGCTGTTGTTGCTGGTGTTGCTGTTGCGCATTCGACTGCTGCGTCGGTCGCTTAGATTCCTGTCCCGTTGAATCGGGCGAGGGCATTGGCCGATGCGATTTCATGTGCGCACTTCTGCTTTTCACTTTGTTGAAAACTCTGTGAAAATACCAGTGACGCAGGATATTAGTTGAGCTCGGATGCGAAAATATTCGCGATATGCTGTAAAGCATGTCGTGCAAAGCTAGAACGGCGACTAATGCAGCGACTAATTGCTTAACGGGTACGAAGAATTTCGATGAGGAAGAACAGGGGCTGCTTTGGAATTCCGTTGCCGTATCGAGCGTGTACGTTCCATTATTCTCTAGCTACTAGAGAGATACGGAATAAAAGAGAAGGAGAAAGTGACAGAGAGATTTTTATGCAAAATCGAATTCGAACAAGTATATCAGTTGAAATTTCGTACTCTGAAAATTGTAATTTTCATATTTCGACAACCCATGTTCTTTTGTTCCTCGATTTTCGTTAAGGATTATAGTGGTTAATACGTAACATGCTTGTCGAGTGCTCCTGCAGTATGTTATATCGTTAGAATTATAAAGAGAAGACAAAAACATTCCAGCTGGCTAAATTTAGCAGTTTCATATCATTTGCGAAATAATATTTGTAACTTGATATTAAAATATGCTGTGCAAAATTAGTATTACTTAAAACACGAAAATGGGGAAAATTGGAGAAGAATTTTCACGGGGTGCGTGAAAAGATAAAAAAATATATATATAAAAATAACAAAAAATATGGTAAAGAGCATTAGCAGTGAAATTTTCGGCGTTAATACGTCGAGTTGGGCAGGGGCACGGGAGTTGGTGATAAAGCGAACGGAAACGTAAGTGAATTTGTCGAATTCCCGTTTTGATATTTGTGGTCCAATAAAAATTTCATTATTTCAAGTATATCAATTTATCGAAGCTATGGGATTATGCTCATCTAAAATGATGCGCCTGGTCGTCGAATAACGGTGGTAACTATCATTAAGTGCGCTTCAACATACGATTGTAGATTTTACGATTTTATGATAGTTTTGCTATTGCGTATATACTGTAAAGGGTTTTACTATATCTCATGTGTACTCTGTGGGCATACTTTTCCATAGCTTGGTCAAACAGGACACGTTGTCAAATTGAATTTCAATTATCAATTACATAGCCCAAAGGGTACAGCTACCCTGAAATGATCGATGAGTGTTTAACGTAGCCTCTATTTAATTAAGTGCCAGCCAATTAGCTATTACGATGCGAGGGCTCAAAAGCAATTTTCCTATAAATTTATATACATGACTTGATGACTATTACATTTTTTGGGATACGTAATCACAAGTTAATCATTTTTACATTCGTTCTAAACTTACGAATTTTCTCATCTGAATATTCTGTCGTTAGTCGCAGACTTATGAATAAATTCATAAAAAAAAGAGGAAAGGTAACACAATCTTCAAAGTAACCATTATGAATGTTAATAAGCGATCACTGAATACATACGTAATAGGTAAGAATAAGAAATAAAAGAGAATATAATTTTAAAGTTCCATATCTATGTATGGCAAACTACGTAGAGAATAATTATTCGGTATCAGTCGTATTACGTATCCCATGTGAATTGTTAAGTGTTAAAGGCTTCAAAGTAGAACTTTCCCGCATGTAGGTAAAATCAATATCGCAAATGACAATTGGTATTAGTATCAGCCTTTATGGTGATAATTAAAACTGTTTGTGATGTGCAATTTAACGATCGTGACGACAAGATCGGGAAGCTTTATCCGACTACCCTTGTACCCTGTAGTTTTTTTTGGGTACACACGCGCTTTATATTGGAACGAGTTATATACAGTGGATTATTTATAGATGTACGTTTGCGCTGCAACTGTGCATAGTTTCGAAAATCTGATGTAACAATTATAGAATATTCTTTTATTGCGCATCGACTGCACATGTTATTATTCTTTGTTCAAATTTCCGCTCGTAAATAAAAAATTAACTTTGCCATTTCAAATGACATCGAAACAAAGTTAAATGCAAAAGGGATTAAAACAAAGTTTATACGGATAGCATACATGAAAATATGTGTTCGAAATGTGGTAATTTTCCGACAGATTTCCAATCTGGCCTTGTGCAGCAGCTTCACGCTGAAAATCCGATTCGTAGTTGTTTCAAGGTACACGTTCAGTCAGACGCAAAGCTGTACACGATGACGAAAACGTATTCCAATGCTATTTTATTTTTATCGTAAGTTCCTTAGACTTTGGAGTCTACGGGAGTTTTCGGGAGTTTTCGGGATTATAGACTGTTCCTGGTCGTTAGAATCTAAAATAGAATATGCGGACTTGCAAATTGCAATACAAAAAATAACATTGAAATACGTCTTAGCCATGTTTGCGTCTGACTGAGTGCGTACCTCAAAACAATTGCGAATCGCATGTTCGGTGTGGAGTTGCTGCACGAAAGCTAAGGCGTTCCGCCAGTATCGGAAGTCAGTCGAAAAGTTACAAAATTTCAAGCGCAAATATCTCTCTTATTATGTATGTTATCCATGCGAACTGATTTTTATCTCTACTCTTTTGTTCTTGTTCTATGACTTTTGCATTTAACTATTTTTTAAGTTTTTTATTTGCGAACCGAAATTAAGCAAATAATAATTCAATGGTTGTCACATCAAATTTTTTAAATCGTATACCGTCTTAACGCAAATGTACATCTTAGCTGATAATTCTGTATATAGATGACGTTCATACATTATACTGTATACTGTCCAGTCTCTTTGTTAATCCTGTATATGTATACGTATATACAGATATATGTTCTGAGTCATACTTGGTTTAGCGCTACTGAGTTTATCGTGTGCAGGAAGATTCTGCCTAGAAGCGAAATCTATGCTGGATCGATATATATGATGTACTGTTAAATACGGAAATGGATGATTTAGATTAGATTAGAGACTTACTTCCCGCAAATCTTGCAGGGGTAGTGAAGTGGGGTGGACACGGGTAGTTGCTCAGAACTAGTGTGAGTTTGTGAGTTGGTGTTGACTGTGGCGTGGCCGGTTTTGACGGCTTGGGCGGTATGGGTGCTCCCAGCCATCGTTACTGTTACACTTCCGCTAAAGCTCTGACAACACAAAGAAAACACAAAGCCAAAATAAACAACACAACCAAACGACAACGACAATTAAACAACGCACAACGATCAGTTCTTGTGAAATAAGCATAAGGGCACGGATCACAACGAACGACATGCGACACTTAAACGTTCACATGTACACGGATATTATTATAGTTTGATCGTTCAATCTGTGACGTAGTAAACTCTTGTAATTTTTCATTTTAATTAAGTTTCACCGATATTTTTGTATGGAGCGATGAATTTTTTTTTGAAAAATTTGTTTTTTAATTGTTTTGCGACTAGGTGACTTACGCTCGCATTGCTTTTGTGATTCGAACGATCTAATAACACGTATAATGAAGAACGATAAATGGACTAATAAAATAAATTTTTTTAATTAAAGTATTTAAGAGATTAAGATGTTTTCGCATAGTAACATTTCATTTGATTTTCGTAGTTAAAAGGGACGCATCGAATGCACTGAATTATTTACTTAGTCATGGAAAATAAATTTTCTTGATATTTAAAAAATTTGTGTTAATGTGTCCTGAATGACGTATGGACACTCAGTTTAAAGAGCAATGTATCTACGTTTTTAGTCAACTAAGGCTTAGAAGTATTGAACGATCACTAGACTTTGTTTAATAATGACTGTACGTAAAGCGAGTGTATGTCTAGAAACTCACATCAGGACAGTCATACGCAAATAACCTTAATTCTCCTTCACTGGTGGTCAGGGTTGCGGAGTTCTCTCTTTCGTTCGTCTGCAACTGAATCGACAATGGCGAGAGGTGTTGGCTAAATGCTACATTTCTTTTACTTCTTATAAATTCATTAAATCTATATCGCTGGTAAGTGACGCGCGTGGCGGCGTAATGTAAAAATGCGGGAGGGACGAGTAAAACTTGTTAGCATAAAAATGAGACTTACCAGCGTACGATGGAGAATAGACTTTTCCTCGCTAAAGTCCATTTCAGTGACGGATGCAATGGCGTCTCGAAGTTCCTTAGTGTCTTTAGAGTCCTTAAAATCTTTATTCTCGCTTTTGATCTTTGGTTTTCCATGGCGTGCCCTCGCCCTTTTGTACTCGTCCGGGCAGAGCCTCTTCCAGAGGTAGTAGAATTGCACGCATTGTTTCGCAGACTTGGTGCCCACGTCCTGGGATATCGCAGAAAAATCCTTGTTGTACTTGAGTAAGCCTTGATGAAACACATCCATTTCATGAGGTGTCCAACGATCAGACTCGTGACATTCGTAACTGAGCAACGGGTGCTCGGCTGGTAAGGTCGGCGTTGGTCTCATTAATTTCAGCATAGCTTCCTGAAATTGAATAGAAGCAACGGGTATAGATAAAAAAAATATGTACAGGAAAAATCAAAGGAAATTATTAAATGAATATACGAGAGTTCCTCTTACATGTATATTTCCTTTGCACATATGCAAGAGGTGAAGTGCATATTCCTTGTTTCTACCACCGCCGGGTACAGCGGCGCAGCAAGCGAACTGCAGATACATTTCCACTGTGCGTACGAATGAAGGTAATAATTATTATGATAATCTGAAGTTATAAAATTTTAATTTGGATACGAATGCTCACACTCATTGTCGGTGAGGACGTTGTTTATGCCGGGATCCCAAAGAAGATGATCGACCTCAGGACCTCCTCTTCCTCGATCACCATCGCACCTAACCGGTGGTATCGTAGCCTGGTACCTGGTGCCAATGTTAATCCTCGGAGGTGGTCCGTCGTTTCCTTGGGAATCATCCGAACTGAATTCTGACTCTCTTTCGTATTGATGTAGTCTCGCATAGAGACCAGGTCCAGGTCGAGAAGGATCCAGGATTGGCGGAGGGGTGTAACTACTGTCCCAGTGTCGGTCACAGGCTCTTCTCAGACGTGAAGGATACGAATGAGAATTCGAATAATGGCCGTCCATTCTTGGCCTCTTCCTGCACTGCCTTATGGGACTAGCTGGGATGCTTGTGGGGCTGAGAAAGACATCCTCGTCTAGAAGCTCTTCTTTTATCTGTTCGATAGGAATCGGAAGACTATTAACTGTCTTGTGCTTCAAAGTATTTTTACCAACATTGCTAGTCTGTATGAGAAACTTGGCTGGATTAATGGCTTGTTGATGAACTTGATTAGGTTGGTACTGCGTCTGAACGTTGAGACCGGTCGGGGTGACGTTGATGGTGCCAGGTTCAACTTTCGGCGTGGCCAAGCGAATCTCTTTCCTGAAGGTGAGAGCAGGACTAAGAGAACCGGCTTGAACGAGTACATTAGCTTTCTGCAGTCCAGCTGTCTGGATGAGTTTGAATTCTCCATTATTATCAACAACGATACCAGCAAGGTTGCCATTGAGTCCAAAGTCTACAAGGTTTTGACTGGTAATCAGCTTGTAGGATTGAAATTCAAATTTTCTACGTCCTGCCGTGAAGTCCTTCGGGCTTGAGGACAAGAGAGGATCTTCCGAATTAGGCATCATCTGATTCTGTAAAGCGTGATGAGGAGATACAGGAAAGCTCGAGGTCGAGAACGTTCCAGGACCTGGCGAAGAGACAGACGACGGTGGTAAAGAGGATAAGGGAGATGGCGCTGGAGTAGCTGACAACGGACTTGGTAGTGGCGAGTGAGGATTAGGAGAGCCGCCATAAAAATCAGCATCTGCTTCCGTTTCTCCAGGTAGAACTTCACTTAAAGCTTCTTCCACAGCAGCTGCGGATGACATCGTCGAAGTGTAAAATGCTGCTGATAAAGGTGACGACACCGGCCTAACAGATTCTGGATCTTCTTGCGGACTCAGGAGTGGCAAACTTCCGGTCAGAAGGCCTTCCTGACTGGCTGGAGGCGTTGGATAGGTGAAGCTTGGACTGTCGTGTCGGGTCAACGGCGATGGCAATGGCGACTGCGTTGGCAAGGTATGAGGACTCTCAGTGTACTGTGCACCGTAAGTGCTGAACTCCGCCAATGAGTCCGGCAACGGTGAATTCACCAGCGCCTGAAGGTCCGGATTGACCGTGTGCTGGCTGGAAAATCGGTCCTCCAAAGAAATATCCTGAAGCTGCTCTGATGTCTGTTCCTGAAGTAGACTCGCTGTCTGAAACTAAGCAAAGGAATTTTCCAAGTTGAACTTTATCGTACTGATTTTGAAACGCCGAAAACTATTCTACAGCACGGGATTCACGTGGCGCACACTCGACGGGAATTGTGTCGTTTCCTGGCGTGCATCTCTCTCGGCAATTATGGCTTCCTGTGAATTCGTTCGCCGTCGCTTCCCAAATTAGACGTAGCTGCCGTTGTATTACGACTACTACTACTTCTGCTGCTTCTGTTAGTATTACCGTGACTAGTTTCACTACTACCGGTACCCCTGCACACGATAGACAGAAAACCTCGGGCTTTTCTGCACATCCGGAAAGCACCAATTGTTCCCTATGCCAACTACGTAGATAATTTCCCTTATTAGATTCAACGGTACTGACTACGTTGACGTAATTGAAACTAAAACGTTTTCTACCTGCAACGTGGAATGCATAATGACACAGAGGCTAATTAGGGCGTCAAAGCAACTAGTATATATTACATTTCGTAATCTCCCATGAATGGAAGAAATTTTTTCTTTTTTTTTTTTCCTCTTATATCGTTAAGAAAACACTAACGTATTCATAACAAGAATATTATACAATTCCAGAATAACTTTTCCTATTCTTTAGATTCCTTTAATGTAGCTAAAAATACATCTCATTTCACACAATTTGTAATGACATTCATTTTACCTGTATAGAGTCCAATTGCGTTGCGTGTAGAAGGACGCTATCAGGAACTGCAGTGACCTGCTGAAAGACTTCGTCCTGCAAGCTGGGACTAAAGTATCCACCATCTTCCGAATATCCCGTCATCGTGAAGCTCTCCGTGACTGCGGGTGTTGTCTGAGCTTGCGATTGATTCTGTTGTTGCTGATTCGTCGTGGACTGCACAGGCGACTGATAAGTCAATTGAACTCTTTGACCAGGATCGGAGGTGGCCCTCTTAACAGCCATTTTGGTAGTGCCCTGAAATATCAAAATTAAATAATTTAAAGATCAAAAAACTGTAACACATGAAAATTCAATTGATCCTTAATTCTTAAGTATATTCGAAAATCAAACGTAACCGAACAATGCCTTGCCTTTAAAATCATATCAGCAAGTGCTTGTGCCTGTGCCTGCGTCTGAGCTTCTTGCAGCTGTTTTTGTACAGCAGCGTGATTGGCCATGGTGACGTTCGGCTGTCGAAAATGCTCACTGTCCGAGTGTCTTCGTACTTTCTCTCCAGCTGCCAATGGCGGTGGTGCGGGAACGGCAAAATTCGTTTTACCAACTGCGTGAGATGCGCCATCGTTTTGTGTAGTAAACGCATTCGCACTCGCACGTGGTTGCGTGGTATTAGCGTCCGTTGCTGCGCACGAGCAGGAAAAAGATATTCGTTATACACAGGCAAATACGTTAAATGCAATTAAACTAATAAAACGGCGATTAAACGTCATTTAAAAAACACTGATACCTAGAACACAATAAATAACGCAGATTACATTCTAACCTATTGATAAGCTAAAATACACATAAAACCAGACATTTTTCAGAAAAATTATGATTCTTGAAATATTTCTACGAAAGCAATATTTCCAATCGTAAGTACAGATACGAATATCTTACGATTCGCAAAATTCCTTCCTATCATCCGCATCGATATGCGATTATACAGTAGCTCGAAATTCGAGGACGTTTCCTGCGACGATTACGAAACTCGAAAATACACGAGTGCAGGGAGTAAAATCGATAGGTTGAAAGTGAAAGGAAGAACGGAATGAATAGGTGAAACAAGGACAGAAACAAGAGAGAGAGGGACGGGAGAACGAGAGAGAGAGAGAGAGAGGGGAGAACGAATATGATTCTAGTAGCGAAGTACAGGTGGGGCGAGTGGCACAGGAATTCAATGAAATTAACAGCAAATCCCCATTAGCTGTCCAAGAGGTTTCGATGTGATTTGAAATTTCCAATTAAATTGCTCATTTGCCGTGAATGCTTCGAAAGCATTCGAACGAGCAAACGAGTGTACAGCCGGGCCGAAAATCTCTGGGAGCCCAGTGAACGCGATGAGCACGTTCATTTTTCAATCAGGACGTCAACGCGCGTGAAGTCAGGCAGTGGAATAAACATCCACGGGATGCGAGATAGGGATGAAAATATCAGGCCGTAGCGAAACTGCCGATCTGGTGGGAGCGAAAGGGGAGATCCATTGAATGCCGCGTTGGAACAAAAGAATCTTCTCTTCCCTTGGCCTTCATGCCGTTCTGACAAGCAGACATGAATTCTCAGCCCCCGATTCATATTACGCGTTACGCTTCGCTCGGTCCTCTTTGACTTCCTTGTAGTGCGCTAATTGGCGCGAGAATCAGACGCGCTGAAAATCTAATCAAAACTCAATTCGTTTTACCTATCTGCTCGAGAGATACGGATAATAAGGTACGGTCGGGATTATCGAAGTCGTGAAATATAAGAAAAAAAAAAGAAGGGAAGTTATTTGCAGTAGGGAGTAAGTAAGAAAAGCGATTAATCCAAACACCCCCCTTGAGTGGAATACGACATCGCCCGGTACCCAATCTGAAATCGTGCGCTAATCACAAATCACCGTGTCGACGTAGATGGGAATTCGCAAAGAGGAAAAAAGGGAGGAATCGAGCGGTACCTTTTTTTTTTTTTAAAATTCACGCTCAACGTTTTTAACCTTAGTCAACCCATGGATTTTACGATTCCACCAGTGCCTGTTTAATCTTAACCGTTTACGAACGATTTATCGGCAACCCTATTTAATGATTGCTGAACGTTGAATTCATCTCAAGCGTCTTTCTGCTATTAATAATGTACATACTGTGCCAGTGTACTGTACGAAAGTATTCCAATATTTCCTGTACGCGAATACGTCTCTTTGATTTTCGCTGTACACGCTACGTTGCCCAACGTCGGGTCAAGCTGGACGAGCGGTGGTTAAGCTGCAGGGGATTTAAAGAAATTGGCAATTTTCGATTGCGGCCTTGCAAATTGTTTCGTCAAAGTCATTGGCCGTCAAGTCGAATGCCGAGAGATAAATGTAATTCTCCTCTGTACCTCTTATCATTCTCTACGATAAAAATAGTGACGTGTTCAGAATAGGGTAAACATCGAAGACCGGTTGAGAAACAAGATTCATTTTCGTCACTTCCCTCAAAGGATATCAGAATAAAGGGTCAGGGTTGGAAGGAGGGGGATGAAAAGGCTTTTTGAAAAAAGAAATTTCAAGGGGTTTCTATTGTAAAGGTACACATGGAGGATCAGTAGGTCTTTACCGTAACATTTTTTAAAATATTAATATCTTTTAGGGGTGCGCCCTGATATGGTCGTGTAAAGCCCGTACCAGGTGAGTTTGACGAGATAAAAAGTTCCGGCTGAAACGTATAAAATCCCAGGATGCTCAAACGGGAAGGAATTTTCTAGAACAGGGATGAGGGATGACTCTCTGTGATCATATGTCTCAGTGTCATACTCTTCCTATATCGGCTTTATGTATAAGTGGGATTAAGGATATTCCAAACAGCAATAAAATCCGCAACAATTGATTATTCACGTTGAGAGGGATATGACGTATCGCATAGCGATCTGCAGTACACTGCAATACACGCCGATAGAATTCTCTGCAATTTCCGTTGAACACGAACGTATAACTATTGGAGGAAATCAATTTGCCAAAGGGATCCCGGGCTTGAGGGTACTTCCGTTCGTATTTGGACCCTCATTAGATTTATCTGGCAATTTTACCGAGGGGTCTTATATTTCCTTTTTCGTAGGCGACAGGCTCCGCTGTGGCTAGCTGATAGATTCGATATTTTACTGGTATTATCGGCTACACGGGTATCCCTTATGTACACGTTATACTATGCTCCGTTCCAATTTGAGGATATGGTAGGTGTACATGTGCTGTATGGTATACGATGGGAAAGCAGAACAGAACTACTATATAGCACGTAACGTGGCTACGTTGTCAGCAACACGTCGCGTTCGACGCTTTGCCGTTGGTAGCAAATTATTTATTGATCCGCCTGGGTCTTTCGGGAGGCGGTACTAGCATCGAAAAATAATGGCCGTTGATGTTTCCGTTAAATGGCTCGTAAACGATTTTGCAAAAGCGAAAACGCGATGAGCCGACGTGGTCGTGAATCTTTCTCGGCGCATACCTTCCCTCTCGTACCCTCCCGCGTACGATATAGAATTAGCCGGTGGAGGGCTGCTGAAATATGTTCCTCCTCCAGAAATCATGGCACTACGGTTGTCCAGGATCATTTCGATCCCGTCGATTTCTTCATTGTGATCTCACGGATTGATCATAAATCGTTAACGAACGAGGCTACTTTCGTTGTAAATCACTCTGGGCTCTCGTCCCTACTTCGGGAGAGCCATAATAATCTCTTTCGCTCTCCATGTGTCTCTATTCTTCGTTTCCTCTCTTGCGATTTATCATCCGCGATGCGGACAATGCGACTAATATTTTGCATTACGCGGCTCATAAATCTTGCGAGATTCTTGGGCAAAACAACGCTCTTAGCAGCGCGCGTTACCAAAGTTTCGTAACTTTCGAAGAAGTGGGTAGGCAGCCATCAACGTCGTTACGTTGGTATCCCACGTAGACGTTCCCCGCGCTTTCTATTCGCTAGGTTCAACGCGGCTGGTATTAACCTAGATAGCATATAGACAAACTAGATCAAATTTATGTAAACGTACCGGTTGTCCTTTTCTGGATGATCTTCTCCTCGATGAGAGCCCTCACGCTCACTGATGCTGTCTGAAGGGGTGGCCCGACCACTTCCTTCTTTTCGCTCTTCTTGTTCTCCGCGTCCTGGAAAAAGAAGTAATAACAACTGTCATGTCGCCGGACATAGCTCCATAATGTCCAAGGGTAGGTCCATTTCTGCGATAGTCATGCTAGCTGTAACCAACTGATATCAAAACTTTGATAACGGTCCAGTTTATCTACTGGAGACTAAAGTACAAGTCGAGGTCCATATGAGGTCCTCGGGAAGAATCTGACCTACTCTTTGCGTCTTTATCAAAAAATTCTGCTTACTCCTCAATTTTCCCACTCGAACTGGATCTATTTCAACAATAACAAAAAATCTGTCGTTTATCTAAGGTACAGGCTAATCCTAAGTAGAGGACTGAGAGGAAATGTCAGAATAAAATCCGGCAGCCAAGTAAAGCGATATTCCAACTTGAGGCTGCAGTAACCATGCGTAAATTACATAAGGGTCGAAGGGTAAGGCATTGAAAAAAAAAAGTCGAAGAACTTATTACAAATTTTCAAGGGTCACTCGATAGGTGGTAGGTGGCAGTAGGGTGATCTCCTTGGTACGTTGTACTTCGTACGTATATGTTATATGTATGAAACTTGTCCGTGGACCATCAGGTTTAACGAATCGGGTCAGATTGGAAGCCGTTCGGCGAAATTGATATGGCGGTGAGGAACACGCGTCAGCTAATCACTAAGCGATGCTAATTGAGGCACCATTCGATTATCTCGTGATGGAATCTCTGGTGTGTGATACAGCAGCCTCCAACGTGAATTACGAAGCTGTGTAAGTGTCGCAGTATAGGTACAGGTAGTGTGTGTGCGAGAGAGAGAGAGAGAGAGAGAGAGAGAGAGATGAAGGGTTGGTATAGGGGGAGAGAGTGTACCTCATCAGCGGTGAGTAACGCATCCCCTTTAACAGCCCCGAACGTTCGTCGATGAAGGGTTGGTATAGGGGGTGATACAGCAGCCTCCAACGTGAATTACGAAGCTGTGTAAGTGTCGCAGTATAGGTACAGGTAGTGTGTGTGCGAGAGAGAGAGAGAGAGAGAGAGAGAGAGAGATGAAGGGTTGGTATAGGGGGAGAGAGTGTACCTCATCAGCGGTGAGTAACGCATCCCCTTTAACAGCCCCGAACGTTCGTCATCTAACGCTAATAGCGGGCAGGGCCAATCGAGATCATTCGCGAACCTCAATTTCCTACGTCGAAGTTAGATATATCACGTCCGAAATTGAACTCTGTCTTTGACGGGGCATTCGCGTCATGAATATTGATCGAGCCGCTAATGTGCAGAATTGATTGCAAATCCGTGGAGCAACTCATCAATTTGAACAGTGTCGACTGCAGGTAGAAGAGACGTGGGTACATGAGTTGGTTACATGAATATATACGTACGCATTGTACATGCGTATCTGATGAATTTTTTGTTTTCTCCTATATTTTTATTTTTTCCTTTATTTGCAACGCGATATTATTTTTGTCGCGGCAATGTTTCGAATATATTCAACTCTGGTATTAAGCTCTGCTTCATAGTCACGTATCAAATAAAATTTGTGCGAATCGTGATACCCTCGTTGCATATTACAGGCATGGTAATATATTGAAACTCGTTTCTTGTATGTAGATAAACAAAGTTCGCTAGAAACTCGCTAGGAGATGCGCACGTATGTAGCCAGAAATATCGTATTGCGAAAAGTCGAAAACGCTCGCGTCATACGGGAACGAGATGTTTGATCTCTTTGAAAAATATCGAAATATAGTAAAAAAGAAAAAAAAAAAGAGGGCTATGAATACGTACTAAGAGTTTATTTCCCTAGATATTTCAGGACGTTTCGTACGTTTCCATAGAGATTTTATATGATATCACGTATATCTATCAGTTTTCATATCCCATTAAAGAATGAGTTAGGTCCATTAATCGGCCTGAACTCAACGCGAAGGACTATCAAAACTTTTCCATAATTTCGCTAATGCTCGTCAAACTTGTTGGCAGATTGGCGAACGGCACGTGGGTAGCCAGTCTCGTTTCCAGTGCAGAGTAACCAGTAAGATTCAATCTGCATAATGGAGAAAGCTCGACGAGACAATGTTTGCTCGAGTTTCTACGTTCGTTCGGATTGCTCGGGCAGACTAGCGACGGAATGAAAGAGCTTGTTAATGGGTTCATTTCGATTCGATCATCGCCTTATCTTTCTATCTCGTTGCCCATGCCACCTCCGTAGTCGTATTCGTTCAGCATTGCTCCGGCCCTCCCCCCCCTCTTATTCCACTCTCGTTCCGGACCCACCTACCGAGAGCCACCCCCTATTCAGTCCACCCGACTAACCAGCCACCCTTCGATGCCACCCACTCGTCCAACCAACCTACAGTCACCCTCCGAAGCATTTCTGTCGATCGAATAGAAGAGGAAAACTTTCCTGGACGATCCTTTCAGCACTTTTCTATAAATGGCAGCGAAAGCCTTCGTTAAAGACATTTTTAATCAGGAGCGAACGAGCCCGGCTCGAAGGAAATGCTGATCTTTCCATTTCGACGAAGGTAACATCTCTTTCGTCCTGACCTTATTATTATCTTTTTTTTTCCTCTTCGTTCCCACATCCCCGGAAATAGGGGAGAGGATACGCCTGTGAATCTCGAGAGTAGATAGACTTTATAGCAGATGCAGTCCTAACGAGCTGCACTATGTTCATCCGAAGTCCCTCAGTGATATTGATTGCTTATAGATGTATCGTAATAACGGTACGGAAGATTGGCAGTGCTTACCTTCTTGAAGTATCCGCCATGAAGTCTCATGTGACCATTGAGCGCCGGGATATTCTTGAATTTCCGATGGCACAAATTGCACTCGACCGGTTTGGGTTCGGTCTGGGCTTTGGTTGAGGCGCCGCCACCAGGGGACGACGAATTCCCTGGGGACGGACTGCCCTTTCCAGCGTTACCGCTTCCGGGTGAACTCGCCGGCTGTTGCTGTTGCTGCTGTTGCTGCTGCTGAGCTTGCTGTTGAGCTTGTTGCTGTTGTTGCTGAAACAGAAACGGAGAAAAGCGTTCGATAAATCCTGTATACTCCGTACGTGCACGACACGCTATTTCACTTGAACTTCATCCCGATTGACCAGAGTCGATAATTTCTACGAAACAAACCAACTATGACCAACTAGCTAACCTACCAAACAACCATCCCGAATCGAGTAACCAAGTGAACCAAAAGTCAAGCAAGCGGGGCGTTTCCCGAAATCTGTGACTCCTCCAATTAACTTTGGACGCGTGGTAGCAAGGTATCCAAAAGGCAGCCGTAATTGAACTACAGTGAGTAACTTTAATATTCGGACACTATGAGATTTTTAGTATATTACGTTATAACTTAATTTCTAACCAAAAAAAAAAAAAAGATTAAGGATTATGATGACGTATACGCTTAATAAACAATAGCGTAAATTTTGTTTACATAACTTACAATAGTTGTTCAATAATACGGTTTAAATAAAACATTGTCCGATTTTCACGTTACTTTAATATTCGGACACTTTACAATGTAGCGCTCTTTCCAATGTTCAAGCCGAGTTACGCCAAATTAGAGGACAATGTTTATTTACAAATCTAGTCAAGCGTTCTAGTTTAAGCCTTATTTTATTAGTTATTTGTCGATCATCGTGCACTACACTTGTACAATGCCTCGCAAAGCGAACACGAGTTTTGATGTACGGCAATTTGTAATATATCATAATGCCAAAGGAAAATCGTACAGAGA